TATTGGTGGGAGCTAAAAATAAATAAATAAATTCACTCACACACAAAAAATAACCGGGGTGTGGGTTGGAAGAAGATATAACAACTACAATCCTTTGAAGTTGTTACAACAAGCAAACAGAAAGGACATTGTTGGGTGGGAGGGGGGAGAGGGAGGAGGGAGGGAGATTTCAGTGATGGGCCATAATAATCAACTACATTGTATATCGACAAAATAAAAATTCAAAAAACAAACAAACAACATGCTCTTAAACAATGAATGGGTCAAAGAAGAAATCAAGAAGGAAATTAAAAAATTCCTGGGGACGAATGAAAATGAAAACACAGTATACCAGAACCTATGGGATACAGCAAAAGCAGTTCTAAGGTTTATAGCAATAAATGCTTACATCAAAAAAGAAGAAAGACTTCACATAAACAACCTAATATTACACTTTAAGGAGCTAGAAAAACAAGAACAAACTAATTGCAAAATCAGTAGAAGGAGAGAAATAACAAAGATCAAAGCAGAAATAAACGAGAGATTAAAAAATTACAAATGATCAATGAAACAGAGTTGGTTTTTCAAAAAAATAAACAAAATTGTTAAACCTTTAGTTAGACTAACAAAGAAAAAAAAGACTAATAAATAAAATCAGAAATGAAAGGAAACATTACAGCAGATAATGACAGAAATACAAAAGATCATAAGAGACTACTACAAACAACTATATGCAAACAAACTGGAAAACCTAGAAGAAATGGATAAATTCCTGGACACATACAACTTACCAAGGATGAATCATGAGGAACTAGAAAACCTAAACAGACTACTAATGAGTAATGAGATTGAAGCAATTATAAAAAAATCTCCCAACAAAGAAAACCCCAGGATCAGATGGCTTTGTTATTGAATTCTGCCAAACATTTGTATAAAAACTAATATCAGTTCTTCTCAAACTCTTCCAAAGAATAGAAGAGGAGGGAATACTTCTAAACTCATTCTATGAGGCTGACATTAATCTTATACCAAAACTGAAAAAAAATACAACCAAAAAGAAAACTGTAAACAATATCCCTAATGAACACAGATGCGAAGGTCCTCAGCAAAATTCTAGTGTAATCCAGCAACACATTAGAAAGATAATTCACCATGATCAAGTGGCATTCATACCAGGGATGCAAGAATTGTTCAACAGATGCAACTCAATAAATGTGATGCATCACATCCACAGAATGAAGGGGAAAAAAACCATAGGATCATTTCAATAGATGCAGAAAAAGCATTTGATAAAATACAACACTACTTCATGAAAAAAACACTTAACAAACTAGATGTAGAAGGAATGTACATCAACACAATAAAGGCCATATATGACAAACCCACAGCTAAAATACTGAATGGACAAATACTGGAGGACCTTCCTCTAAGATCTGGAATAAGACAAGGATGGCTACTTTCCCCACTCTTATTCAACAAGTGCTGAAAGTTCTAGCCAGTGCAATAAGGCAAAAGAAAACAACAAACGGTGTCCAAATCAGAAAGGAGGAAGTCAAACTATCCCTATTTGCCGATATCGTGATCCTATACACAGAAAACCCTAAAGACTCCACCAAAAAATCACTAGAACTAGTAAATGAATTCAGTGTAGTGGTGGGATACAAAATCAACACACAAAAATCAATAGCCTTCCTATATGCCAGTAATGAAACAGCCGACAAAGAAATCTAGAAAGTAATTCCATTCACAATAGTTCCCGCCCCCCCCCAAAAAAAAAGAAAGAAAGAAAAGAAAAAAGAAGTATCTAGGAGTAAATTTAATAAAGGAGCTGAAAGACATCTACAATGAAAACTATAAAATGTTTGTAAAAAAAAAATTGAAGACAACACTAACAAATGGAAAGATTGCCCACTTTCTTGAACTGGAAGAATTAACATCATCAAAATATCCGTATTACCCAAAGTAATCTGCACATTCAATACAATCTCTATCAAAATACTGATGACATTCTTGACAAAATGAAAAAAAATGATCTTAAAATTTGTATGGAACCACAAAAGACCCCATATAGCCAAAGCAATCTTCAACAAAAAGAACAAAGTTGGAGGCATTGCACTTACTTCAGAATATACTATAAAGCTATAGTAACCAAAACAGCACAGTACTGGCATAAAAATAGACAAATGGACCAATGGAATTGTGCAGAGAGCCCAGGAACAAAACCATGCACTTACAGCCAAGTGATTTTTGACAAAAGTGCCAAGAATATACAGTGGGGACAGGACAGCCTCTTCAACAAATGGTGCTGGGAAAACTGGATATCCACATGCAGAAGATTGAAACTAGACCCCTATCTCTCACCATACACAAAAATCAACTCACAATGGGTTAAAGATCTAAATTTAAGACCTGAAACTATGAAACTACTAGTAGAAAACATTACTACATGAAATGGGAGTGGGCAGCACTTTTTTGAATGAGACTGTGAAGATACAGGCAACTAAAGCAAAAATACATGGTAGGACTGCATCAAACTGAAAAGCTTCTGCATATCAGTGGACAGTATCAACAAAGTGAAGAGACAACCTACAGAATGGGAAAAGGTGTTTGCAAAAGTACACATCAGACAAGGGGCTAATGTCCAGAATATATAAGGAATCCAAATAGCTCAGCAGCATTAAAGCAGGAAACCCAATTTTGAAAATGGGCAAAAGGCCTGAATAGACATTTTATCATTTTGTATATTTTTCTGTAATTAAATTTATTTTTCAGAATAAAACAATGCAAAAAAAGAACAAGTAGGGAGCAATTCATTTTTTCAAGTGACATACTCAGGTCAGGTTAGAGAAGATCTGAACAAAATACATTAGATTTATCAATTAATAAGTCAGTAACAACAAATATATGTTAAACGTGTGCTAAGTACAAGGCATGAGGAAGTCAAGTATAAGCCTAAAGTCAAGATATAGCTTTCCTGATTTTGATGCTGTAGCTTTTATTTACATGATGATGGTGGTGGTAGTGGTGATGATTATAAAAGCTTCAATAAGCCATGTTCCATCTACATAAAAATCTTAAATCTCCTGTAATAACTAATTATAAACTTTCTGCTTAGGTAGGGTTTTTGGATCGTCAGCGGACATTGGCCTTGCTGGAAAGATTCTATGATCAAAGTTCACAAATGCTTAGGAGTTTACTCCGAAACCCAAGACAATGTAAGTGTCACTTAGAAGGAATATGCTCAAATTGGAATGACATAGTACACTGACATGATAATACAAGACCATTCTACAGCCATGCGATCTTTTCACATATCTCCCTTAGATCATGATAGCTATATCTAGTTGTTCGTTCTCCCACAAAATTCACTCTTCATGACAACTAGATGTATTTTTCGCCATCGTGCAATATTTGAAATTATCATATCAGAACTCAGCTACAACTGAATTTTAAATTCATTCAAATAAAGAGGTGCTTTACTGACAATACGAATATTTTGGAAATTAAGTTAGTAATGCCAAACTTAGAATTCTAAGAGTTCTAAGAAAAATATTTCCTTCTCCCAATCATTTTTACTTGTACACCTTTTCTGTATTTATACAGTAAAATGTCCTTTTTATATTACTAGCAAAACAAATAGAATTATGAGTTTTATTTTTACTTTTTAAAGAAAAAGTCTTTTAATGTCTGGGTTTTCCAAAGAATGTCAATATTTTATTTCTGTGTAAAGATTTTTTACTTGGATACTTTAAGATCTGTGGGTGATATACATGGACTATTCCTGAAAATTATTGTAGTTTTACAATTACTAAATGTTTTTTGGGGTGGGATATGGGGACAGTCTTGTGGCATGAGTTCCACTCTGTGTAGTCCTGGCCACCAGGGTTTTGTTGTTGTTTTTTGACAGTGGGATTCTAGTGAATGCTATCCAGTCTTTCTCTAGAATTCTGAATCAGGTGTCCACATAAGTTGTGGAGGAAAAAAATTGAGGAATGAAGAAGAAAGAAGAGAGGGAAAGAGGAAATAAATATTGGAAAACCATAACCCCATGGAAAATTGTCATGGATGGAGACTTGCTTTTATTTTTATATTGCAAGATATTTGAAAAGATATTTGAGATGGAAGACATGTCTCCTTCCCTTTCCCTATGCTATGCTTATTGTGGGAGGACCACAAGGTAGAGTGTAAATTACTATTTGCCTTGGCAGTCTAAGCAACTCTCCAAATAGCAAAAGAAGAATCATGTTCGTTTCCAAAACCATACCTTTTAGAGAGGGATGATCTCTAATTCACAGTGAGCATTTTTTATGTTCCTTTGGGTACTTTTCTGCTTTTTATTGTGCTGCAGTGAAAGGTAACTGATATTTATTTAAAACAATAGGCCTATATTACAATCTCTGTGCTCAATGCTGTTTTTGCATTAATTTATTAGCTCTGATACTGCTTTATAACATCAATTATTTAGGTAAATGTTCTGTTTTCTGCATTAGGGCCATTGATTGAATTTGAAGAGATAGACTTGCCTGAGTTTTGGGGTGACATGGATAATCAGAAACACATTTATGAAGACTTTGACAAAGTGCTCTTAGAGATGAACACATTACTTTCTGAAAAACATGTTAGCAAAACCCAAAGTAAATTATTAGAAAATCCAGAAGATCAACATAAACACGATGAACAGAGAAAATCAGCACCAACATTAAACCCACCAGAAGAGCAGAGAGGGACAACTGCAGAACAGGGACCACACAGAATTTCAGCTGAAGAACAAGAACAAGGCAAAGAGCCATCTGCAGAACAAGAACTGTACAGAGAACCAGAAACAGAACAAGAAACCCTCACAGAGTCAACTCTAGAACAAGGATCAAGTAGAGAATCAATAATAGAAAAAGGTCCACACAGAGTGTCAGTTTCAGAACGAGGCTCACGCACATACTCAATAATAGAACAAGGACCACGCAAACAGTCATCTTTAGAACAAGGATCATGGAGAGGGTCAATTGCAGAATCAGGGTCACGCAGAGAATCAATTACAGAACAAGAACAGCGCAGAGGGTCAACACCAGGACAAGGACCACACAGAGTGTCAGCCTCAGAATACAGATCACATAGAGAGTCAACAATTGAAGAACCATTACAAAAGTCAGAACAAAAACCTGATGGAGAGACAACTCCAGAAGAACAACAGGTCATAGATTTAACTTCGCAATCAAGAAATGGTAGTATCTCAAGAGAAAGTTCCAAATCTGGGGAGGTTACTCCCTCTGAGTACATTGAAGAGAGGTCTTGGGAGCAAACACATGAAGAAGTATTCGTGAGTACTGAACTGCAAGCAGAAGTTCCAACACCAAGTAGCAGAGATCTTTCAGGTAGTAATGCAGTTCTCCCTGCATCAGCTCCCTGTTTTGTGGAGTGGTTTTTAAAGTCTTTTCAGAAAATACTTATTTAAATTAAGATTTTTTTCTGAGATATCAGGTCATACAAACCTCAGAGTATATTGCTACTCACCATGAGTCTAAACCTTGAACAGTCAATTAAATGCAAACCAGAATGTCTCTGTTGTCACCTCACCTAGACTGCCTTTTACACCAGAAGTCCATTTGTCAGGAAGAAATCTGGTAATGTTACATATAAAAGTGTTTTAATTGGGTTTCTGAAAAGGTGGTAGAAGTCCTCTTGTTTTAAATGTGGTGTCTGATATTACAAACCATTTTTTAAAATTTCTTTTATTTCCACTATAAAATGGGTCTTGCTTTTTTTCAGTTAGATAGAAGATATATGTTCTAGAAAAGTTTCCAAAAGTCATATTTAAGACAGAAAGCACCCTGCATTTCAAATATTTATTCACATCTCACTGGTCAGAATTTAGTTATACAGTGATTCCCCCTTATCCATAGTTTCTCTTTACAAAGTTTCAGTTTCCTGCATTTAACTGCAGTCCAAAAATATTGAATGGAAAATTCCAGAAATAAATAATTCATAAGTTTAAAACTGCCCACAGTTCTGAGTAGTGTGATGAAATCTCATGCCATCTGGTTCCATCTTGCATGGGATGTGATTGCTTTGTCCAGCATAGCCACACTGTATATACTACCCCTTCATGACTTAGTAGCTGTCTCGTTAATGGATCAAATGTTGCAGTATCCTAGCGCTTGTGTTCAAGTAACCCTTATTTTACTTACTAATGTCCAATTCATAGGCATTTTCTTTTGTACCTTTTAGAAACTGCAAATGTGGAAGTTCCAAAAGACAAATCCTGTGAACCCAAGTCCCAAACAATAGAAGGAAAGTCATGGTCAGGTAACTCCTCATTTAATCCTCCTTTTGTTTATACCCTAGAGCAAAAACATGAAATGAAGTTAAATTGGCTATGTTATGAAATGTATTTTTTATAGGTGAATTTTTGACTTGTAACTGGAAAAAGAAGTATGTCAAATTTGAAGATGAGGAACAGGCAGAATTAATCTATGGTTGCTCCAGATTCGCAGGTACATGTTAACAACTAGGAAGAATAGGTAGTCCAATAGATGTACTTAATTTACTGTAGTACCCCATGATAAAGATTGGATTTAGCTAAGACACAATGGGAGGGTGATCCTTACATTATTTCATCCCTGAACGGATGGATCTAAATATGTATAAGATGGATTTCTGTAATTTCAGTCCTCTCTCTTTTTTTTCTTGGTCAGTCTAGATAAAGATTTAAAAATTTTGTTGATCTTTTTTTAAAGAATCAACTTTTGGTTTTGTTGATTTCCTCTATTGTTTTTTTTTTTTTTTTGTCTTTTGTCTTTTTCCGTGTCCGGCAATGGATCGCAACCCTCAGTGTTGAACCCGTACCGAACCGGAGACCGGCAACGGGATTGCAACCCTCGGTGTTGCTCCTGCGCCTCGCTCAGCCAGTGAGCGGGAACCGGTCTGTTGTGGGATCCGAACCCTCGGGCGGGAGCGCCGCCGCGCTTCCCAAGCGGCGCACTTATCCAGTGCGCCACTGGGCCGGCCCAAGATGGATGTTTTTGATGGTGGTGTACTATTGGTGGTGGTATGTGCTCTTCTTCTGCTTTAAAACTTATGGCATCAATATACATTTTTTTCTACTTTTTTGTAACATTGAGCTTCAAGATAAATATATTAGTCAAGACTCTTGGGAGGGAGGGATTATAGTGTTTGTATTTACTAACTTATGTAACTGGAAAGTCCAGGTGCAGCTGGCACAACTGTATCTAAAGGCTCAACAGTAACAGCAGGACAGTGTCTCTCTGCCTCTCAGCCCTGTTCTTCTCTGTGTCATTTTCAGTTTTAGGCAGTTTTCTCCATATCGTGGCAAAAATGGCCACAAGAGCATCGTAAACTTATATCCTACTAGTTCAGCAATCAAAGAATGATTCTTCCCTAATAGTTCTCTCAAATTTTCTGGGGCTAATTCCCATTGGCCTATAGTGAGTTACATTACTGTCATACATGAACCATTGGCCAGACCTATGTCACATGACCATCCATAGGGCAAGAGGGGGGAAGCTCAGTACCACCTGACTCATCTGAACTACAGTGGAAGAGAAATGTTTTCTCAAAGGAAAAAGGAAGCCTCTGTCCTCATGAAGGGAGCATAGAATCCTGACAGGCAAAGATAGCAGATGTCCATTACAATAGGTACTCATTTATTTTCCCTAACATTTGAGAGAATTGTTCACTTTATGGCTTGGTGTATGTTTTCTGTTTGACAGCCCTACACTCAATTATCAGAAATATTCAGTCTTACAAGGAAGTAAAAGGAAGGACTGCCTTCAATGGAGTTTCCTTCAATCTGCTTCAGTTTGTACAACTCCTGGAGACATTTGTTGGTGAAGATTCTCCTTTGAGTGTCACTGAGATGCTTGTTTCCTTTTTTAAGGGAGGTTATGTGGAAACTAAAGAAGAGAAAATGAGTGCCTTAGAACAGGTGGGTAATATTATTTATTAACAAAGTGAGGTCACTATTATTAATAAATTTGTCAACCTCAGTTGCTCCTGGCGTGGCTCTTAAAAAATTTACAACCAAACGTATCACTTTATTTCAACAAGCATAACCATTAAATATTTTATTTTATTGTCAAATGTTCTATCATACTCCAGAGAACTCATTTCCCTCATAGCAACATGATTGCTCTTGGTAGGAGATGGTTTATTGTACTGCTTTGTTTTTTCTCCTCTGAAGCTTGAGGAGCAGATTCTGAGGAGCAGATATGTGCATGTGCAAAGATGTGTGTGTGCACTATCTGTCTGCTATGTGAGTGTATTTACAAATGCACATACCTAGGGATATGGTTATGGTTGGAGTATATATTTTTATTCATGAGCACCCAGATAGTACATATTTCCTAAGAACTTACCACTTACTTGGGTGATAAATGCATACACATTAGCTTATATAAGCAATTTATTCTCTTATATAATATATGTAAATTAGTTTCACCCAGATTATTCAGTAATCTCATCAGATTTATGATTCTTCTCAACCTAATTCTAAAGTAGATATCCCTTTTCCTGTTCCATTGCAGTTCCTCCTACTTAACCAATTCACTTTCTTTTTGAAATGAAATCTATCTAAATATTAAAAAATCTAAGGAGTATAGTTAATGTGTTTAAATCCAGTGCAGGGAATGCCTGTTTTTTTGGTCTGAAGGTAAAACACAGAAATGGCATTTAGGGGATTAAAATGAATCACTGCATTTTCCATTAATATCACACTTAGCCCCAAAGTAAAGCTGTATTTATAAAAGGTGCTACAGTTTTTTAATGAATAAACACAAGATGTCACTTAGCACAATGTCTTCTGTGCTTTGTTATTCTTTTTGTATCCTAGGTTAGACAAAATGCTTTCCAAGCCCATCGGGAGCTTCTCCTTGAAGCCCTCTTTCAGGAGTGGGACAGTGATGGCTCAGGCTTCCTGGATCTGAAGGAGGTTGATGAACTCTTGTATGCGTACAAGAAGGGAATGGAAAAAGAATCCATGAAGAAAGGTAAAATATAAGGATGTTCTTATTTAAGTTGTGGTAACAACTTGGCTTCAAGTTTCCCAGTACTATGACAAATATACAGTTAAAGCTTTGGTTGTTCTAAAACCATGAGAATACCACTTTACATCTACTAGTATGATTATAATTTTAAAAATGGAAAATAACAAGCGTTGTTAAGGATGTGGAGAAACTGGAACCTTTGTGCATTTGTCAACACAATCAAGAGTGGAATGTGTTGCAGAGTGCTTTGTCCAAGACCTTTACTCTACGTAGTTAGATTCCTTCTGTGTACTTGGCTACTCTCACTCTTGCGATGAAAAGAATACAAACCATTTGACAATTCTGTCTGGTTTCTCTTCTTGTTTTGTCTCTCTGCCTTCACAAGGTCTTGACTCACCCCTCAAGTCTGACTGGCTTGCAAGTTTCTCTTCAATTTACTAACTTCTTCTCCTTAATGACTTTTTCTCCTCCTAGATTATATTTTTCTCTTCTGGTCAATGGTTCCAAATCAAAAGCTACTAAAATTCTCATTCCTGTATAATAAGTTACTTTCTTCACTTTATTGGATCCCAATTTAAAAGATTTTGCTCTTCACTGGGTGTAAGGATTTATTTTGTGACTTTGGTATACCAGATTTCCAATTTTTAACGTATATAGTACACAAGAGAAAGAACTTTCAGGATTAATTAAGTTCTTCAGGCCTTTCAAAAATTATTGTATTTGTTGATCTTCAAATTTATCTGTTTATCAATTGTCATGTTCTCTTCAGTAACTATGTCTTCTGCAAACTTTACATTATACTATATGGCTGTTTTAGCCTGCATCCAGAGATAATTTACTGAATGAAATTTCAAAAGGCGTAATGAGGTGGTTCCCACTCATAAGATGCGCACATTTCATAACACGGAACGATGTTCTACAGAGAACTCTAAACAGTGGTCAGGATAGCTGAGTTCCAATCCTGGATCATCAATAAATGATCACGTGGCCCTTGGCAAGTTCCTTTCCTCCATAGACCCAAGTGTCCTTGTTTGTAAAATGAAGGAGTTAGACATGATGAATTCGGGAATTTAAGAAACCTGAGGATAATTTTATGAAGAAGTTCCAAATATTGGACTATATGGAATCCAATTATATGGAATCACATATGATCGTTATATAGCAATAGGGATAGACAGAAAGCATAAAATGTAAAGGGATAAGCCCAGCAAATGAGAACGAGGAAAATAATGAGGAGGCAGAATTTGTTGCCAGGTGAAAATGTCTACAAGCAAGAACAAATTATTCTCTCCAAGGGCAGACTTACACAAAATGACTATCAGTAAACACATAATGGTACACCTGATCTGAAGAGATGATTGCTGAGCTGATGGCAATATCGAAAAGGAAAAGCAGACTTAGCTTCTTAAAAAAGGAAGAAAATTCAAAATTCAAGCATTAGCTAATAACTGATTGGCAAATCTTCAAACATCTCTTATGTTTGTTTATTTTGCTCTACCCTTCTCATTTCTTCTATGTGCAAAATTAAAAATTGAGATTTAAGTAGCATAAAGTCACAGGATTAGAAGTTTCTAGAAATGTTTCTGCAAGATAGTCAATCTTTTGCACATAAATATCAAAAATAAAAAGCTGTAGAATGTGACCTGTCTATACTGTAGAATTTAACGGAATAAATCACTCTTCCCTTGTTATTTCCCATGGGATAGCTACTTACGTTGTTGGCCATGCCCTTTAATTTTCTGTTTAAATGACAAGACTCGCTTTAATACGTAGATTTCTATTTAGATAGGACATTTAACTCTCTTAAAATTAAAATATTTTACTGATGCATTCTGTCACCAAATTCCAGAAATCGTAAACATTAAGTACCATATTTATTTAAAAGTCTCACTGAAAAGCACACAAAGTGTTTTTTAAAGAAACTGAAAACTGGACAAGTAGGTAATGTAAAACTACTGCTATTCCTTTGCTCTGGAACTCTGAAATAAGGACTCACTAAGAAACTCTTTAGTCTTCCTGAATTTCCATGACCTTGACACGTTTGAGGATTGTAGGCTGATTGTAGTATGTCCTTCATTTAAGTTTGTTTAATGTTTTCTCATGATTAAATTAAGGTTATTCATCTTTAGCAGGAATATATCACATAAGCAATGCTGTTTTCTTTTGAATTGTATCAGAAGTCCCATGATGACAACTTTTACCAGTTGACTAAGGTGATATCTGTGAGGTCCTTCCACTTTTAAAGTCACTCTTTTTCCCTTTGTAATTGATAAGTATTTTGTGGGTGTGCTTTAAAATTAGGCTTGGGCCATAATCCCAAAAGACACAATACTGAATACCATAATGCCGGATGTTGAAATTCTGAAAGATAAACATCCCTAAAGTCTAAAATCCTGAAAATCGCTATCTTGAAAGATAAAAATCCTGGAAATATAATTCTAATATCCTATAATCTCTTCTAGAGCTTCATAAAAATAGAATCATGTAGTACGTACTCTTTTGTGGAAGGCTTTTTTCATTCAGCATAATTTTTCTTAAGATTCTTATATGTCGTTGCATATATCAGCAATTTTTAACTTTTTATTGTTGAGTAGTATTCCATTGTATGAATATACCATAGTTTATTTATCTATTATCCAAATGATTGACTCTAGGGCTGTTCCCAGTTCTTGGCTGTTATAAAAAAAAACTGCTCTGAACTTTCTTATACAAATCTTTTTGTGAATATAAATGTTTTCATTTCTTATTAAAAAATACTTAGGTGTGGAACTTCTGGGCCACAGTGTAAGTATATGTTTAGTTTTATGAGAAACTTCTAGACAATTTCCTGCATTCTTTTAACACATATCCATCATTCTCTGAGCACTTCCTTGCTTTCTGGCACAATGAGATCTTCCAGATTCATCTTTTATTTTCCCTGCTTTCACACTGGAATAATCCATTTCCCCAAAGAACTCTGGTTTCTTTTAGTGGAGAATGGTATTTGCCAAGATCTGGTTCACGTGTCTCATCACTCACAGGTCTCTGCTCCCAGGTTTCTCAGTGGACAGATGTAAGAAATGTATGTGTGCATATGTACATGCACATGCATGTGTGTACACAAACATTTACATCTGTGCATATCTTTCTGTCTATTAATTTTAAAAACCATGAGTTCACACTGATACCTCCAAGTCTGATTCAACACAACAGGGTTCATTCTAGTTTTCTCCCTTTCCATTTTTGTAGCTCCCTTAACTCTGGCTCATGTTATCCTAAATATTTTTATTTATTTGGTCAATCCCCAAGTCAATTCATTAGTTCTATCTGGAACTACTCTCCCATCACTGATGCTGTCCTCTTTCCCACGCTGTTGTCCTTTTTACTATACTTGAGTTCCAACACCCCTCACTAATCTGTCTTTCCCTCATGGTTGCCATCCTCACTCTGCTCAGGCTCTGACATTCCACACCAGATCATCCCTCCACGTGGATGCCCTTCACATACTCCTTAGGCTCTGACATTCCATGCCATGGTGACTTTCACATAGATGTTCTCCTTAATCCACTCAGGCTCTGACTCACTATGCTGAGCTGACCCCCGACCTGGAAGTCCTCATTTTGTTGGGCTCTGATTATCCATGCTGGACTGCCCCTCCACGTAGACACCCTCCTCACCCTGTTTAGGTTCTAAGTTCCCAGGCCAGGCTATCCTTCCATTAGGATGCCCTCCTCACCCTGCTTAGGATTAAACACCCCATATTAAGCATCCAACATCTTGCTTGGGCTCTGACACCCCAAGCTAAACCACCTCTCTGTAGGGCCAACTTCTTCACCCACATAGGCCAAAGACTGCCCTTGCACATAGAAACCCTCTTCACCATGCTCAGGCTCTGACAACCCATTCCAAGCCACCCCTGCACAGAGCCCCTCCTTAACCCATTTGGACTCTGATACCGTCATCTGGGCCACATTGGCTTCCCCGGACCAGGAGCAGAGGCTTGCCTTGATCTGCCCCACCTAATGGCTTTAGGACCAAATTGTTCAAAAAGGGAAAGGAATGAAAGGAGAAGAGAAGAAGAAATAGAAGAGGAAGAGCACACAAAGTGCTTTTCATCTAATTGGGGACTATATTAGTTAGTATCCTTTTGGTTTAAGTAATAGAAAACCCAACCCAAAGTGGCTAAGCAAGAAAGGAATTTATCGGTTCATGCAATGGAAAAGTCCTGGGCTAGTTCAGGACCCAACTAGATTTGGGAATTTAAGTAATGACATTAGGATAGGTGTCTGGTTCTTTCTCTTTCTCTTGCTTTCATTATGGTCCTGCTCTATTCTATGTTTTAGCTCCAATCTCACACATCCTTTCCCCTTATGGTGACCAGGTCCAGTTTCATATCCTCACAGGTTCATTACTGGAATAAAAAGGAAAGTGTCCTCTACCTAATCATTTAAGCACTAATTCTGGCATTAGTCCGTACTAAACCTACCACTCTGGCTAGAGGAATAGAATGTCCTGACTGGTTTAAGCCTGAGATGCATGCTCCACCTCTAGAACTATGAGTGGAACCCCACTCGAACGGATGAACCGAGATGCGAGTAGAGTGGTTTCCCCAAAGCAAAATTAGTGATACAAGTACCGAAAGAAAGATGAGTGGGTGCTAAAGAGCAAAAATCAGTACATGTTCAACTACAGAAATGAGAAATTTACATATGATAAGATGACGAAAGGACCATGCAGTATTTGTTAATTGTCAAATAAATGGTGTAGAATGGGTGCTGCAGTCTTCCAGGGAAAGGAAAAATCACAGTGGAAATCTTCTTGAGGTGAGGGGAACTTTGAACCATACTTTAAAGGGAAAAGGTGCATACCCTATGAGTTATTAATCTATAATAAATGCCAGAGAAACTTGCACATATGCACCAGTGGACATGTGCAAAAATGCTCATAGCACTGTTCATAAGAGCAAAATATTGCAAATAACCTGGACACCTATTGATAGGAGAGTAAATAAATCAGTGAAGGTATACTCACAAAATGACATAGAGTGGTGATAATTAATGAGTCATAGCCACAAGAAGAGCATGGATGGATATGGTAGTATAATGTTGAATAAAAAAGCAAATCCCAGAAAACAACATGTAGTTCTATAACCTTTTTCTAAAGTTTACAAACAGGCAAAACTAAACCACATATTGTTTAGTAGTGTGTGTGTATGTTTGTGTGTGTGCGTGTGTGTGTATAACATGTATACTTATTGTTATATAACTATAATACTATTGGGAAAAGAAAAAGGAAAGGAAAAATAAAGCCAAATTTCAGGATATTGATGGTGGGTGGTGGTGGGTGGTGGAGGCAGGTAGGGAATAGAATAGGCAGGGCATAGAGGAAGATGTGGGTTATGAGTATACACATAATGCTCAGGTTTGGTAGTAGATTCATGATTGCACAAGTAAAGAAATAAAAGAGAAGGATAATAACAAATAAAAAAAACAAAGATAAAACAAAAACAAGCAAAAAATGAACAAGAAAAAATATAAATAAATAAATAACAACAAAAATAAATAAATAAAAGAAAGTTATGGATGCAGAAGTGTGCAAGGCATGGTCAGGGACCATAAATAGAATTGGGACTACTGGAGCAAGTAATTCCCATATTAGGTATTAGGAGCAGATATGATTGGAAATAAACTGCACCCAAATATGGTACGACTTTGAACCAGCAAATTGCATAATAGAAGTTGTATTTTAATTTAATTTTACAAACATGTATTAAGCATTTACTATTGGTAAGTCAATTTTAAAATGATAAAAACTGGCTTGGAGTTATGAAAGTAGGAACGAAGAGGAGTGGCCACAAGATATATTGTCTAAGAGTAATAGGACAGGATTAAGTAGTTTATTGCATATGGAAGGCAAAAAATAGGGAGAAGTCAAAGTAGACCCTGAGGTTTCGCCAGGCTGAGTGGTAAAATTAAAACAAAACAAAAACAAGAGAAAATGGCATAGAAGTCATCTTGAATCCAGCATATTTTAAAGTAACTACTTAAAAATATTCCATTGGACTCAGAAATGCCTTTGATGTACCCAGCTTTCCATGGAGAGCAGTTATCAAGGGCTTCAGTTTGCTGTAAGAGGAGCATGACAATTTCCCCCACAGATGAATGAACTTTTGGTTAATTCTTGGTTTTGTGTTTATGTCTTTTAGCTAAACTACACATACAATTTCCAAAGCCACACCCTAGTCATGAAGTGAGGTTGTCTTCAAAACAATTTCAGAAATACATACAATTGGTTGTATCTGAACTCAGGGGCAATGAAGATCAAGTTCTAGAAAATGTTGTGGAATTTCTGATGACTACTTTAGAGAGGAACCGTACTGAGAGTCTGAGGAATTGTGCCAGACGGAAGTGGCTGCACCGAATCCAACATGCTGCAGAGACAAGTGGGGTGTCCCTGGAGCCAGTGTACACTGAGACCTTTAAGGCCCTCACCCAGGTATGTTTTCTAAAGTAGTACATAAGAGGAAAAATTTCCTTAAAATAGATGCTATTCAATGGTTACAAAGGAGGAGCACATTGAATTCTCTGGAAAAATGACTGGGTGCTGTTTTAGATGTTTCATTCATTCCAATATGTTACAATGACTCAAAGCCTAGAAGAGATGTAACTGGAATGATTGCTTTTTGGCAAGATAGAAACAAAGTGGCAAGGTAGAAAAGACAGATACAGGAAAGATATTTTTGGATTTCTAATTTCATTTGTACTGAAGGTCAAGTAAGCCTAGAATAAACCATACACTGACAATAAAAAATACCAGTAAAGAGATGTGTAAGCATCTCAAGCTGCATTTCCCATGTATGATGTTTTGGGAGTCAGTTTAAAAAGGAATTATTTAAATAATAAGTTCACTGTGAAGTGAAATCCAACATCACACAACATTTCACAGCATTGCCTAGAAGCAAACTGAGACTATTTACAGAATCCTGTCATTTAGAACACATGGCCCTGAGGGGCCACTGCCCACAGCCTTGCCACCTCCTCAGAAACTCCCAGATTGCTGCTCCTCCCAGGTAGAAACAGCATGGCTGTCTTCTACATGTATCACAGATTCCATTGATCCAGGGAACCTGTAGCAGTCATCTCTGATAAACAGCAGCACTTGCTCATTGGAACCTTCTCCTGAATGGCTGAATTTTCCAATAGAGTTGGAAATGGTGCAACCAAGACCAGGAGACTACTCAAGAAAAAGAGGCATTACTCCAACTTGCTTCAGAGATCTGTGGTACTCTAAGAGAAATCTTACTACATATTTGTTAATTACTCCATATATTTGTATTTGAAAGGAAGAATAAAGGCAAAAGAAAAAAAGGCACAAAAAACAAACCCAAATATATAGAAAGAGGAGACAAATATCAAGAAAAGTGTCTCTCGTATTCCCAATTTATGGATATGTTCAATATATGTGTTAATATATAGTATTGTTAATAACATAATAATATTTTAGGTACAGAGAATTTTCAGTTATTTTAATTAGAAATAGTAGCTCCAGAAAGTCTGCAATCTTGGGCCTTAAGAAAACCCTTCCTGAGATAACAGACCAGATATTCAAACTGTGTGAAGAATTCCTTGAGAGCGTTTTTTTTCATGTTCACATGACAGTAGATGATCAAGAAATATGAATGAAATGAAGGCATCTTCTTGCTCCAGCTCTCTAAAATCAATACTTTTAACTGAAGCCAAGACAATATAACTATAGTTCAAAGAGATCCAAGTTTTAAACTGCTAAATTTGAGTAGACTTGAGGATTTTTTGTTTTTGTTTTAGTTATTGTTTTTTCAGTAAACCAGTCTGGTTGGCATAGAGGAAATCCATTCCACTCACTAAAACTCAGGTTTGAGGGACAGCTATGGTATCAGCCTTTTTCCCAGTGCCTATGAATGGTAATATCTGCATCTCTTATTTAGGAAAATGAATTATCGGGGCCAGATGCACAAATTGGCTAGTGAAGGGAGACATGGTTAGGGGAGTTCTGTGATGGTTGGAAAATACATAGTCAGAAACATTTTGCCATAGGACGCTGAAGCACATGGAAATAAGAAGATCAGTGCTCACATTTCCCTCTTAGAAGAAAACCTACTACTGCCTGATAGAGGAAATGTTCTGTTGAGGAATGTGGCTTGTACCTTAGATGATGCTCCATTTGTGCTGAACAGAGTGCTTTACAGGGACATGAAAGGAATCAGGTAAGAATTTCTTGAAGAGGATGGTTTCGCCCTTCTAAAAAAATAATTTCCTTTCTGAAGTATGATAGCATCGAACGCCTAGTAAGCTGCTCAAGAGAGAAATGTTTCAAGTCACCAATGCTTCTAGAGTGAGAGCTGATGATTTACTTGATCATTTCTAGAGCCCACTCTTTGGCAATGATTCCCCATGTAGGGACTATATTTCACACTATCAATTCAATTATTCTTGCCTGCTCTATGACTTATGTCTCCAGTGTCCTGTTTATATATGTTTTCACTGTTAAGATCTAAGCTTGTTTCTTAAATCTTGATCTCAAGTCAGACCCTTCAAACTGGTTATCTTTTTTTTTTTCCCCTTTTTGTCTTTTTTCGTGACCGGCAACGGGATCGCAACTCTTGGTGTCGCGCCCACACCGCGATCAACCAGTGAGCAGCGGACCGGTCTCTATATGGGATCCGAACCCTCGGCGGGAGCGCCGCTACACTCCCAAGTGCCGCACTCTACCGAGTGCACCACCAGGCCGGCCCCAAACTGGTTATCTTATCTGAGTCCACTTCTTTAACATATAATGCCAGTGATTGTGAATGAATAATCCATGTAGTTTCCTCCATGGTTTAATCTAAAGCCTCCCACTGTGCCTTTCTCCCGTGCTCATATTCCTTTTCCTCAGCTTTACAGTAGTGGATGAAGGTGTGCCAATCCATGTCCCCCAAGTTCAGTACCATGGGAACATCTTCTTCTGGAACCATTCCCGCAATGAGAATGATCATAACGGGTCATTCCTGGCTCTGCCTCTTCAAGATGCACATATGAGGATCTTTGGGGTCATGGCTGTTGATACCCTTAGAGATCCCCGTGAAATAAACATCTTCCTACCTCATGAGATCAGATTCTATCAGGTAAGTCATAGAAATCTTCAAAAATAGTGGTAGGATGGACTCTCTTTCTGTACTTTTAAAAAAGTGAAACTTGAAACCAGATTAGAGTAAAGCTGCATGTGTAGACAATATCGTCATACTTGCTCCTGTTCCCTGAATGTTTGTGTCAATCTTTGGAGAGGTTCCCCACCACTTATGAAAGGATTCTCAGCCTCAGTTTCACATCCATGTCTCAGCCTCTCTGGGAAGATTGTTAATATGTGTCCCATAGCATTAATCATAGGAATTGAATTTTATGCTGTAGAATAGGAATCCAGTGATTAGACCACTGACTAAGATCCACAAAATAGGAATGAACTTTTAGAAGAGATGTATTTGTGTTTTATTAATAGTGGTTCTTTCCATAAATGGTGCTAAATATGATATACATCCCCATAGCCCTTGATTTCAGTGTTATAATTTTTGAGGACAAAGAATTTTTTTTAAAAGCCTAGATGTTTCTTGAGAATAAATATTTCCAAATTAGATCACAAAGAAGATAGGCACTTTTAGGACTATGAAATAGCTAGACCATTTCTACAAGCACTTTGATTTAATTTTATGGATAGAAATTTCAGTGAAGGAAGATTGAAAGCCTTCATGGAGGCAATGGATTGTGGGGTATAGCAGTAAGTCAGGAATTTGCTATGGTCTTATCATTTGTTCCCCAGTTAGCCACTGGATCTTTATGTTTATTTACCATTATTTTTCATATTCTTTTCTCACTTACTGGGTGGATAACTGAGGAAAGTGGGACAATCTCTTACTCCAGACATCTTTTCAATAATACGATTCATTCTCATCTAACATAAGAATCATGTGAAGATATTAAGAAGCAAAATGGAGAAGTATGGTGTTATCAGTAGGTGAACTATATATAATCTTGTGAGAGAGCATGTCAAAATGAATAATAAATTGGCTCTCTAGTTCTTGGAGATAGGGCTCATGGGTTACCCTTGGATGCCTTGAGTCCTGATATAAAATGCATATGATTTTGAAGAATTTGTTGCTGCTAGAGTTTCTTGACAACAAGACCACAGATGGGTTCTAAAGACTTCCCATCTTTTCTCTGTGGAACCGGGTCTCTTTATGTCTATAGAAGGACTATGTAATCTAGCATGTTGCGATCCTTGGAACCAAAGATGTTCTATACTGTTGATCTGATGACAGTAGTCATGTATAGATGCAGATATTAATATTGCTATCAGATCAGGGCAGCTGCTACCCATCTGCCTAAGGTTGGCATTAGTTCTTGGCTTTTAAACATTTCTTCTCATTTCAAAGTTTATCTTGCTTTTCTGATGCTATTCTCTGATAGCGTGTATCACAAATTTAACTGGGTTAAACTTGATTATCAGAAAGCATAAATAGTTACATGGATCTCTCTTTACACCTTTGATTTCTTGATGATCCTTTTTCATTGTAGAATCTAGACACTGCCTTTGAGAACTGATGAATAATTTGTAGGAAGTAGATTATCGTCAGTTAAAAAGATAATCTAAGTAATGCATGACTAATTATTTTGCTATTTTAAAAAGAAAAGGCAATTCAAACTTTTTGTCACTACAGGGTGTTGCCAATGTTTTTAGCACTGCCTATCACTACGTCCACAGCCGTGAGCACATCCTGCATATTGTGATGACTGGCATTGGCTGGCTCTATGACTACACACCTGGCATCACCTCCATCACTACGTACTTCATTGAGCCTAGCCCAGACCAGGTAGGCAAGCCTTGGAAGTATTAGACTTCTCGTAGGTAATAGAGTTTTGTAGATGTTATTGTCTTGTTAATGTTTTTAACCCATATTAGTTAGCTATTAGGCTAATTGGAAACATATTTCCCATGACCCCAATTCAAGACTCTTGGTTGTGAGTGACAGGAATCTTTTCTTAAACTTCCTTAGGCAAAAGGGAGAACTGATTAACTCATGTGACCAAAATCAAGAATGGAAAGGAGTCAAGCTGGCTTCCACGATGACCAGATCCAGGGATTCGATACTGTCAGGGCTCTCTGACGTTCTTTATCTTGTGTTTACTTCCCTCTGTGTGTTAGCTGTCCTTTCAGCTAAAGATAGGCTTTCTCCACAAGTCAAGTCAGATGCTTAGTAAAAGCATCCAGTAAAAATTTCCAATTTGGAAAACATAAGAAAGAAAACTCTTTTTGACTCATACTGAGATATAGCCCCCTGGCTAGGGTGGGGAGTTTATGGTAACTGACAACCCTGACCAGAATCATATGGGCAAAGTAGGAAGAGATAAGGAGCTGCTATTTTGGAAGGACACAATTACATCAAATCATTTTTCTTAAAAAAGGCCCCCTATCTATAACGGGATGAACTCTTGCTGAATGTTTGCTTTGCTTCTTTACACTTACCTTTAATGTTAGGATTTTCTATATGACAAGAATGGATGAAAAGTTGTCTTCTTTTCAAAAAGGCTAAATGACTCTGCAAGGTGCCCATTCAGATGAGATGACACCTTGGTTGTCCTCCCAGTCCCTTGACTGGCCCATGGCAGGTGCCTCTCCCCTTCCTTCCTGGATTTTTCTTTTCCTTCCCTCCCACCAAGTTCCTGCTTTCCTCCCTCAGTGGCTGGACAAGCTGATGAGGCTTTGGCCAAAGAGGGTAGAATCGGGGAGCTCTCTGCTGGAGTGGCCAGGCTGTGGAGGCAGAGAACACCTTGTCATTGGAGCTGCTCCTGGGGGTGGGGTGAGGGTGGGGTGGGGACTCCAAATGTCTTTGGGACAGGGGTGAACCACTCCATCCTACAGGCCACCGCCACAGTGGGGTTAAAGTGTGTGGGGACCGGGGAAGATTCAGAAGCAGTTTGTCGGGGTCTTCAGGGAAATAACACTTAGGACACTATGGAAAAGGCCAAAATAACCCAAAGCAGTTAGCAAGAAGCATTGCTTCAGCAGTGTGTTGTTTCAGAATCACAATGCCATGGACAAAGCTGCAAGGGTCATGACCTATCTGACCCAGGGCCATCTTACCAGGGTGAAGAAGACCATGCTGAAGGGTGGCAGTGAGAGGAGGACCACCCAGTAGCCAGGGTCTGAGTGAGATCATGGTGGGGCAGAGACCAGAACAGCCTGTCCAAGGCTGTAGTCAGAGTTTTGTCTTAGGTGGAAGACACTATGGCAAAGTTTTGGTGTTAAAAATGGCTGAGAGTGTGGCTGTACAGATAGCTTTTTTCAAGCACTCAACTATCATAACTTCCTAAGCCTCCCCTTCCCCTTCTACAGCCCCTCCAGAACCATTTTCCTCTTTTTTCCAGGCTGCTCTGTGCCTCAAAAAGTAGACAGTTATTAGTGGGGTCCTTGGCCCTTTGGCTTCTGCTTGAGTTTGTCCAATGAGAGCCACCAATAGGAAACTGGAGGGCAGAAGGAGTGAAACTGGAGTATTTATGCTTCTGGCTCCCTCTCTGCCAGGTTGCTGTGGTTTGGCTGTGTTCCCCTACCAAAGGCCACTTCACCTCTAGTCAAGTGGCCCTCTGCATACAGCTATCCTCTACAGGTTCTGGTAATTGCTTCCTCTTCTTGCTTCTTCAGGCTAAGGGTGGTAATAGCCCTCCATTACTACTAGCCCAGGATTTTAAACACTTCCAAGCCTTTATAAATAGTCCTTTTATTAAACTCTCCTCAAATTACCCAGTTCTGGCATTCCTGTAATGTACAGGCTCATAGAGAAAAAAAAATATCTTCCTCCATTGACAACAACCATAGATGAAGGAAAATAGAAGATTCAAATTCTCTGAAGTATAAAACCCAGACTATTTTAATTTATCACCCAAAATCTGTTTCTTTGGAGGACTGAACTTATTAAATAGGTAACTGTGGTAGGCAAAATAATGGCCCCTCCAAAGATTTCCATGTTCTAATTTCTGGAACCTACAAATATATTACTTTACATTGCAAAAGGGACTTTTCAGATATGATTAAGATTAAGGAATCTGAGATGGAAGATGATCCTGGATTAACTAGGTGGGCCCCATCTAATCATATGAGTCCTTAAAAGCAGAGAACCTTTCCTGGCTGTGGTCCCTGAGAGATGGGAGGATGGGAGAAGAGTCATATGGCAGCACAACAAAGATTTGACACTGCATTGCTGGTTCTAAGATGCACAGGGTTATGTACACAGACCTGAGTTAGGAACTAACTCAGCTGACAGCAGCAAGAAAATGAAGATCTCAGTCTTTTATTTCCCTGAGGTCTCAAGAGGGATGAGTGTCTAACACATGTGCCTGTTTTGTTATCTTAAGTCATATCAAATGTAGGCTTTTGAAAAAACAAAAGTCAGGGATAAGCCAATGATGTTTGCTTTCTACCTCAACACGTTCCTTTTCTCAGAAAGTGAATAGATACAGACTTTCTGCTTGAATGAGAGGGAAGAGGAGGTGAAAGAGTATCAGGAGAAGGAAAGTGCAACACTGAAGTTAGTGTTCCATATCCTGCCATCCATAATAGAAAGCAAATTTTTTTATACCTCAGGGACTTCAAAAATGCTGTTACTCTGTCCAGAACATTCTTCCCACTTCATCTCATTGCCCTTTGGCCCTATATGAAACAAACTACAAAACTTTATCAAGGGACATATAATTGTTTTGTAAAGTAGAAAGTCATAGCATGATTTTTTTTTCACAAGAAGACCACTTTTTAAAAATGTAATTTCTTCCAAAAATTATTTATAAATTTAAGAAAATTTCAAGAAAAATCTCAACATGATTTTTTAAAAAATGACAAATGATTTTAATCTTCATAGACTAGCTAAAAATATGAGGGTTGAGAAAAAACTTATGATCTTGGCCTGGGGAAGGATTACTAAGCTTACACCAAAGGTTGGAACAATTAAGGGAAGGTTGGTACATTTACTACATAAAAATGTAAAACTTTCTTGCATTACAGTAATAAATAAAATTAAATTGCTTATGACTAACTAGGGAGAAATTGCCTCATATCTGGCAAAGGGTTAACTCTGTTATATACAAATCAATGAGATTTTAAAAATTCAAAAGAAAAATAAGCAATGAATAAATCTATTTAAAACAACAGCAATAACAACAAAAATAAACCTCACGCAAATGGTCCATAAATGTGAAAAAAATATTCAGTCGTACTCAATAAAATAAATACAAAGTTAAGTAATAGAGAACTTTCTACTGACTAAATTGAAAAATATTTTTTAAACTGTAATTTGAAATGTCTGTGAGACACGTATGTGAAGGTATTGAATAGGCAGTTGGGTGTATGAGTTCAGTGTTTGGGTAGAAATCCAGGCTAACAAATAAATGGTATTTAAAACTATGAGACTGGGTTACACAACATTGTGAATGCATTCAATGCCATTGAATTGTACCCTTACAAATGGTTAAAATGATAAATATTATGCTATGTATATTTTACCACAATAAACAAAACAAAACACAAAACCATGAGACTGGATGGGATGACCAAAGGAATAAGTGAGGATAGAAAAAAAAAGTTTGAGGACCGAGCCCTGAGCACTGCAAGTGTTTGGAATCACTGTGGCTCAAGACTGTATCAACTGTAACCCACAGTATGAAAAACATTTTATATTCTGACCCCTTATACATGCGTGCACACACACACACACACACATTTGAAACAGAAATTTCACAAAACAATACCTACTTTTACTATGTGATGTTTTCTAATATTGTCTATTCTATTTTATTTCACTCTTTTTTTAAAAAAAGTGTCAAAAGAGAAAAAAGCAAAAATTAAAGCAAAGGAGATAAATAATGTGTAATGAGAAAGGTGAGAATGAATAGATATTGGAAAGGTAAGGAGAAACAAAACAAAACAAAACAAAACAACAAGCCAGTAGCAGAAGAAAGAAAATGGGGGGGAGGAAATATAATTGCAGCTTTTTCTCTGAAAGGTTTCCTAGGAAATTTTAAGTAAGAATGCTTATCTCACTAGCGAATAATTGCTGAAGGACTTGCTGAATTTATAGTTTTTTGGTGCAACTAAAATTAAATGAAAAACTTACTTGTTTTCAGGCATATTATTATGAACCCCTTATTTTCTATATTATGCTTCTGGCCTGACAGCAGGAGTGGTCAATTTACACAATTTTGGAGGGAAAAACAGGAAAGAAATTGTTTAATTTGGGCTGTAGATTTAAACCTAGAAAGAGTCAAGGTGAGATTTTTAAAAAATCTTTTCGGTCTAGTATGAATAACCATGAAACAAAGAAGTTCAGAAAAAAGCCAGAAGCCCAATTGCCAATGTGGAATAATCCTAACAGTTTGCCAAGTATAATGTTGAAAACATTTTTTACCCAGAAACTTTGGTAGAAAGCTTGAGGGCGTGGAGTACAGAGGCAAGAGAAAGTTTCTCATTACAAAGCAGTTGCTCATCTTCTAACACCATTCAGCATGCAGCCCCTAGGGATCCTCTCTAATCATGGTTTGCCTTTTACTCCAAGAATTATTTTTTTAAAGGGGTGGGGTATAAAAACCCCTTTTTACCTCTTCTAATTGAATATGTCTTTCCTACAATTCAGTGATTTTGCAGAATATGTTAATAGTGCTTTCTTATAAATAAACTAATCTCTACCAAAAATGTTGACCAAGGCTCATTAAACTATTTTTATAACCCACATGTAAGTTATGACCTACAGTTTGAAAACCTCTTAGAAGTGAGCAAGATAAAGAAGCAGCATGGGCTGGCCCGGTGGCGCACTCGGTAGAGGGAGGTGCTTGGGAGTGTGGCGGTGCTCCCGCCGAGGGTTCGGATCCCATATAGAGGGTTCGGATCCCATATAGAGACCGGTCCGCTCACTGGTTGAGCGTGGTGCGGGCGCGACACCAAGGGTTGCGATCCCGTTGCCGGTCACGAAAAAAGACAAAAAGGAAAAAAAAAAAAAAGAAGCAGCAAAGAGAATGAGGAACGTTTGGTGAGGTAGGAGAGCCAGGAGAGAGCAGTGTCCCAAAAGCTGAGTAATGAAACTGCGGGGGTCCTTCAAAAAGTTCATGGAAAAATAGAATTGAAAGGCAATGTGAATCTTTCTGTGAACTTTTTGAAGTACACTTGCATTTCAAGAAGGAAGTTTTTCACTGAATCAAATGCTGCTGAGAGGTAGATGAAAATGAGGACTGGGGATTGAACAATGGATCTGAAAATGAGAGCGTCACAGGAAACCTTCACAAGAACAATTCTGGTGATGTGGTGAGAACAAAGACCTCCCTGGGGAGTATTTTTTATTGTATTTATTTTCTTTGGGCTTTTCTGTGTTTTCCAAATGTTCTACAGTGAACTTTTAACATCAGAAAAACAATATTAACACAGTTTTATCACAATTATAAAAAAATAAGTTTTCGCATTTAAAAAAATCTTATTTTTTTGAAAATTTTCTCTTGTGGAACACCTTGTTGCTTAACAGGGCTGAAAATGGGTAAAATGTTACTGTCCTTAAAGCTAGAGGTCATCTAAACTTTCCTAGTTTTTTATATTTATCTGTCCCCAAAAGCTTTAATGAGAATAGGAGGTCTAATTACTTCTCTGTAATGAAATCTCTTCCTCTTTTCAAGGATTCAGACTATGTTTTACGCAAAATGATGGTCACAGGGCAGCTGGGTCTAACAGAAATTCACAAAAATCCACCTACTGTCTTGAGGAAGTCATGTATCTTCAGGTATGAGACATGTCTGTTTTGTTTGAGTGACAGAACACATCCCCTGGTGGGATAGCAGATTTGAAAGACATAGCTTCTGCCTCTTATTAGTACACACTTTTATTCTGATTAGCTTTTTTTTTTTTTCCTTTTTGTCTTTTTTCGTGCCGGTAACAGGATCGCAACCCTCAGTGTCGTGCCCGCACCGCGCTCAACCAGTGAGTGGACCGGTCTCTATATGGGATCTGAACCCTCGGCGGGAGCGCCGCTACACTCCCAAGCGCCGCACTCTACCGAGTGCGCCACTGGGCTGGCCCATCTGATTAGCTTTTATTTATTTTTATTATTTTTATTTTTTTCCTTTTTATCTTTTTTACTGACCGGTAACGGGATCGCAACCCTCGGTGTTGCGCCCGCACCGTGCTCAGCCAGTGAGCGGGAACCGGTCTCCACATGGGATCTGAACCCTCGGCGGGAGCGCCGCCGTGCTCCCAAGCGGCGCACTCTCCAGCGCGCCACCGGGCCGGCCCTGATTAGCTTTTAAAGAAAAATTCCTGTAGAACATTGTCTGCATTGGACATATTAACTCCTTTTTTCCGCAAGTCCTTTTTAAGATGGGTTTCATTGGTATTTTGTATTAAAATTACATGTTTTAAAGCATGATAGTGGTTTATTTTCTATGGTTTTCTTGTAAACATAAAATTCAACAAAAACCCACTTATTTGAGCTCATCTGTTAATGGTAGCTAGCCTATGAACATATATTTTTTGTTTAAAGAAGAAGGCAGGGGCAAAGGTGGGAGAAAGCAAAGAATGTTGTATTTAATAATTACCCTGTTCTAGATTACTTAGAATGACTCTCACTTGTGCAGTGCAAGGAACACTACTAAACTGTGGACAGATGCAAAACAGATCTTAACTGAGAACACACCTATTGCATAAAGGGACTGCTTCTTAGGAGGGCCCATATAGTTGCGTAGACAGTAACCCTATCTCAGACTAGCAGGCTAATTTTGACATTTAAGTACATATCTTAATTAAATTTTAGTTTGGCTTCATATCAGAATGTTCATTCAGTCTCAAGTTCTTTTCCATATAGCTATTCCTTGTGCTGGTCAAGGAAGTCCTTGTAACACCCAGACTCATAACCATGAACTCCTGTGTGTGACAGAGCAGATGCCTTTGTAAGAACTCTCTTGACCAATGGGCTTTATTATTACGCCTGGAAAGTTTAGTATCATGCATCATTACCATAGTTATCATAATGACACAAAGTGGTGGCTCATCAGCAGCAAGGGGTGGGAATAGCAGAAAAAAGATATCATATTACCTGTCGTTATAGGATTGATATTTTGAATTATAAAGTGCTTTTTGAGGCTATGCAAAGCACTAACATTTTTCAAACACCTTAAAGGTATGGCATCTCGATATCAATGGAGATGGAGAAAGGACCAAAGAGATAAAAAGAAATGTGTCTATGCCTCAACTAGAGAAAGAAGTAGTCATTACATTTCCATGAAAATCTCAGGTTTCTCCCTGAAGCACCTGCTATAGATGCCCTGCCCAGATCCCCAATATGCCTTTTGCAGGCTGCTGCAGGTACTGCTAAAGGCTCACACTGTAACTTTCTCTGCACAAGTGCCCTTGAGCAATTGAAGCCCCTCACCAGGAGGTACCTAAGAGTTATGTAAACACCCCCCACCCTCACTCCCACACATCCAGAGCAGCTTAGAGCCAATGATGACTAGTGCTAGGGTACAAAAGCTCCCTTGCCTCAAGGTGGGACAGATTCTTTAACAACACAATTTCCCTTTCAGAGCTCCCCTTGGGATCAAGCCGAGGCTAGACTTCACTTGAAATTACATTCTTACTTAGCTTCTCCTCCTTTCCTATCCTGCTTCCCTCAGACTCTCACAGGTTTCTCCTGAGAGTAAATCTACCTCAATAAATCCCTTGCATGAGCATCCCTGTCTCCAGCTCTGCTTCTAGGGAACCTGACCTAACATTCTCATCGTACTTTCTGGTACCAACCAACATGGACCGGATAATAAGTAATAAAAAATGAACACCTTCAGATAAGCTTAAGTGTAGTTAAGACAGTGAAGCAGAGTATCACAGTGGAGAGTGACTTGGGTGCTCCTACTTCAGATTGGGTGATCAGGGAAGTCTTCTGGGCAGAGACATGAGTGAGCTGATGGACAGAACCAGGTGAAATCAAGGTGTGAGCATTCCAGGAAGATGAAACAGCAACAGGGGCTGGCGTGGTGGGAGTGAAGGAGGCACAAGAGAGTGAGTTAGTACGTTTGGGTGGAATGTTGTGGACAGGCAGATGTTTAATATCATGTGCTTCTTTGGTTTTGGTTTCAGGGATTTCCTCTTTAAGTGTACAGACAGTGCACAAGTTGTTTTGGCCTCTGCCTGTGGAGAAACCCACATAGTTATTCCACTTCGTGAGAGAACAGGAAAGGCTCTGGGAGTCCTCGATTTTAACATTGGCCGAAGTAGGATGTTGTTGTATCAAGAGTTTAAAGATCTACAGAAAATGATGAAGGTGATCCAAGCTGCCTGCTATGAAATACTGGGTGAACTCTCTGGAGAGACAAAGAAAAAATATGTCTTAGGTATTGTGAATGCGGCAACAGTCTGGATTCATGGGTTTAATAGATTTTGAGGAAACCACAGACAGTACGATGAAGGATGCATTTTCTAAAATGAATTGTTGCAATATACAGATCTTTCTATATGAAAGGGATTCCTTTATGCAGTCTTGGTCTTATGAGTATGGCCTATAATTAAAGCAAAGGCACGGAATCACATTATTTTGGCTAGAATCATACAGTTTCAGAACTGGAAGGACCATAAAGGAAAGACGAAACTACCATTTATTAAATGCCCCATCATATTTGAATAGTTATTTCATTTAATCCTTATCATAACCGTATGAGGTGAATGGTGATACCCCATTTTACAGGTGGGGAAAGTGAAGTTCAGAGAAAGTAAACAGCTTGCCCTAAATCACACAGTTAACAAATGGTGAAGGCAGGATTTGAACTCAGGTTTGGGTGCTCTTTCCCCTATATTACACATCATTAGCTAATTAGAACATCTCATTTTACAGATAAAAAAGCTAACGCCCACAAAAGTAAAGTGAATTATCCCAAGTCCAATAGCTAGTTACTGGCAGAGCCAAGAATAGACCCCAGTTCTTGTGATTCCACATCTACTAGGCTACTCTTAGCATGATACCAACTTGGAGAGAGAGGTGAGGGAAGAAAGAGGCATGGAAAGCTTTGGCTACCTAGAATGAAATGAATAGATTTAGAGAAACACTATAGGATTAAGCTGAAAGATTTCTAGCCATTACATAGAGTGGGATAAGAAGAAAGAAGAAAATGCATGTCTTCTGAGTATTTACTACAAGTACATTTAAGGCCTGAGCCCTTTTATATATACCATCTCATTTAATTCCCACAGCTCACCAGAAAAGCAGGGATTAGCCCCATTTTCACAGAAGAGGAAAACGATATTCAGAGAGACAATAGAACTAATAAGAGGGAGAATATGTATTCAAACCAAGGTCTAACTCTACAACCCAAGTTTTTGCCTTTTCTCAAAACCTCTTCCTATGAGGGTGTAGTTCCACTCTTTTCGATTGCATGGCTAGAGAAACTAAGATTGTTTAAAACTGTAGGATATGGTTTTCTATTTTCCTTTTTTTTTTTTCCTTTTTGTCCTTTTTCGTGACCGGCAACGGATCGCAACAATCAGTGTCGCGCCCGTACCGGACCGGGACCGGCAACGGGATCGCAACCCTCAGTGTTGCGCCCGCACCGCGCTCAGCCAGTGAGCGGCCGGTCTGTATGTGGGATCTGAACCCTCGGCGGGAGCGCCGCCGCGCTTCCCAAGTGGCGCCCCATCCAGTGCGCCACCGGGCCGGCCCTTGGTTTTCTATTTTCTGAAAAAAAAAATGTTTACTATAATATGCTAAGAATCCTATGAAAAAGTAACGTATGTGACTGAGCAGCAATGTGAGATGTCATTCTGTTATTCCAGAGATTGAACATGTAGGGGAAGTCCAGCGGGCAGGAATTATCTTCTTCCGAATCATGCTGCGGGAGCTGCAGGAAAGCCTCCAGCTACTCAATTCCATGGACTTTGTGTCACTGTTGCTCTATGATCATAAGCCTCTCACAGAGCCAAATTATCCTCAAGACAGCATGTCCCTGGAGTTGGAAGCCAACATAAAACTAGTGCAGGACATCTTGAGAGGCGTTATCTTGTTCTTTCATCCAGAGCTGGAATTTTCAGGAGACTTTAAAAATTGGGATAAGTGTAAATTTGTAAGTTTTTTTAAATGTACTCTTTTTATTGGAGAATAATCTATACAGATTTGGGTATACAAATCATAATTACAGAAATCATAAGTATAAAAATACGAGAATTTTCACACAATGAACACATCTGTGTAACCAGCACCTAGATCAAGAGTCAGAACAGTAGTAGCATCCCCAAAGCCTTCCTTTGTACCCTTTCCCATCACCCCTTCATCCCCTCCCCCACATTTGCCCCCATGATCTTGACTCCTAACACCATACATTGGTTTTGCCTGTTTTAAATTTATGTAGATGGAATTCTATAAACTGGTGAACGGGCACTGTATTTCCACCTGCTGGTGATCCCATAATTTTTCTTTCGTTCTTTGTTCACAGCATGTTAACAGATATTTAGTCAAGAGTATTTGTGCCTTTGATCCAACTGCTAGCCATGTGGTGGTGAATTTACAGCTCATTGATGAATATATCAGAGGTAAATTTCCTCCTAATTATAGCTTAAATCCATACCAACAGCAATAAAACACAATTGCAATTAGGAGATTTTTATTAGAATAAAGCAAGTGGCTCATAAATTCAATTTTTAGGAGAAAACAGTTATTATTACAAGTCTCTAAAGGGAGGGACACTATCTATAATCTATTGCATTCCCCACAGTCACTGTCTATGCCATGCCACACACTTGAGAGTTCAAAAGCACATCTGTCTCCCACTTATTGACTGCATGTGTATTATTCATTTTTTAAAAAAGCAAATAGCTGCTGCAGTGAGGACCGGGACATTAAACAAAAAGGCTATTATTATCTTTAGCTTCAATAAAGAACCAAAGAAAATAATAGCTTACTAGCCTATTAATCTATAGACTAGTAACATAGACTTTCTGGAGAAGGAGAATCTGCAGGAATGGAGAACAGTGGCACTCTCAGGTTGGAGAAGTTGATGAGCTCTTTGCCCACAGATAACAGGCTACATGTAAGAGTAAACATACAAATACAAGCACATATTCCTCCACTGGTGTGTATTACCCCACCAGCAGACTAAGGCCATGTATGTGAGTGGATCAGTAAGGAATATACTTAAAGTTTGTTGCTTCTTTGTTACTTATGAAAAACTAATCATTAACAGGGGAAATGGCTCTGTAGAAATTGCTGCCTAAATCTGTCCCTCTCCTCCTTCTCCCTTTCTCTTACTCTCTGTGGAGACTCCAGTCCAAGTCAGAAGGGTTTCTGGATTTCTGTGATGCATATACTAGACTGCGAGGCTCAGAACCAGAGACTCCTGGGACAAGTGGAAGAAAAAGGCAACCCAGGGGAAGGTGTATGTATAGCCACACTCCTCAAGGTGTCTGTAGCAGTGGAGGTATGGAGTACTGGGGTGTTGGAGCAGTGAGCCAGGGTGGATGGATAAAAGAGAGGTCATCTGGCCTCAGAAAGTGAGATGCTCCCAGAAGTTTGGGAGTGCTACAGAGCAGGAGAGAACAAGAGATTGTGTGAAAGTTAACGTGGACCATTAGTGACATGAGTCAAGTTTAGAATTCTTATTTGGAATGGGGCTTCCACAGTAGCCTCATGGCTCTGGCCTCATTCATGGGAGCCTCTGGTTCACAGGTGTGATATGTATAACTTTTTCTAAGGTGCTATTCAAGGAAACAACAATGGCAACAATAAAAATGGATACTTGGTCATTATATACTTTTATATACTCATTCTATACTTAGTCACTGTTCCATGAAGACTTAAAAATCCAAAAGAAATGTTTTATGTCAGTGCCTCTGGCTCACCCAACCCCCAGACTCAGCCCCACCTAGCTGCTGCTCTTCCTTTTGGAGTGGAGTTAGTCCCTGCCATGAGCCCCAGCACCCCTCCTCTGTGTAATTAGAATTGACATTCTCCCTGAGTCCCTACTCCACTTTCGTTCCCACCCAATCTGCCAGCTCCTTGACCTAGAGCCAGACTCTGCTGCCAGGGTCTCTTGTGTCCTTTCAGAGTGATGTTCCCCTGTTCCCTGTCATGGGCGAGGACTCAGGAACCCACCAGCACCCAATCCAGTCCCTGTCAGAGAGGAGCTGGGGATGAAGATCAGGCCCCTCAACTCCACACCTTGCAAGTATGTACAAGAGTTGGCTTCAGGGCCGGCCTGGTGGCGCACTGCTACAGTGCGCCGCTTGGGAGCGCGGTGGTGCTCCCGCCGAGGGTTCGGATTCCACATACAGACCGGCCGCTCACTGGCTGAGCGAGGTGCGGGAGCAACACCGAGGGTTGCGATCCTGTTGCCGGTCACGAAAAAAGACAAAAAGAAAAAAAAAAAAGAGTTGGCTTCAGCACTTCACAGCCCATCCCCAGCCACAGAAGTGGACAAAGGCATCTTCTATATCATCATACCAATGCCTCAAGGGAATCTCTTTGGGCTCCACCTCCAATTTGCTTATAGGAACTTCCTCCTGTTGTCCTATATAACTCCTTTGTTTCAGAACACATGGAAATTTTAATTTCTGTGTTTGCTCTCACTTTGAACTATCCTAGCTGATTCCTGAGCAGCCTTGACCACCAACGCTTCCCACCACTTTCTGCTTTCCAACAGTGCCCTCAGGTGGCAGGAATTCTAACTGCAGTTAACCGAGCAGAACTAGGCCGGAAACCAATCCCCTTCAGCTCACCTGTCGCCACACCAAGACTTTAGTGTTTTCACAGTCTCTGCAGCAATCAAGAAAGTACATAGGCCGCCCAGATAGATACCAACCCTTTCTCCTTCAGATGCAATTATATCAGGAAATACTAAGCTCCCTGTTCCGGGGAAGGGAGAGGATCTCTCTGGGACACATTTCTGTATGCGCCAGAAGGAGAGAAGTCTTCCAGCAGGGCAATCTGTTGTTCAAAGTTTACCAGGCTTTCTAGCAGCTTTAAGTAAGGCCTTTACTCAATAACCCCACCCAGCATGAAATGCCACTAATAATAATAATAGTAATGTAGGCTCTGCCAGGGACGGGGAGGTACCACTAGACTATATAGCATAGCTACTAACCCACCAAGCCCTTGAAACTAACGATTTTACCAAGAGTATAGAATTAGGGCTGGTGAAGTGCACGTACTTTCTTAGAGATTCTGCTCTCAACTGTTACCCCACTTTATTCTAGTGTGAGAAAGGAGTATTTGATATTCTGGTGGAACTCCAGGCAGCTGTGTCCTGCCTTTAGATTGAGATGGTCATCTATGAAGGAGCATTGGTCAGCTTTGTTCAGAGGTCCTGGCTTCCCAATACTGTGCCACTGCATGTGAATGTTGCAAACGTACTTCCCTGTGGGGGACCCTGTGACTCCAGTGACTACTCCCAGACAGCTGTGCACACCTGATCTTTCTGTAGGGGATCCTATAACCTGTCCCATGTCTCCCTCCTAGGAGGTTAGGACAGTTGTTGCCTGCCAGGAAATGTTCTCAGACCTAGAGGCAAGAACTATCCACTATTGCAAGTATAACTAGAATTATTTTGATATCTAGAACCTGTGTTTCTGATAAGTGGCCATATCTCCTCTCCAAGCTTATATAGCAAAGTTTACAAGTCCACAGACACTGGTCTTGGCAGGAGTGTCCCAGGCCCTCCACTTCTCTTACAGGAGTCCCAGGACTTCTCCTCTGCCAAAGCAGACAGAGCTTTATTCTCACTGTCTAAAGAAATCCAGGAGCTTCCTCAATAAAACACCACCATGGTCCTCCAAGGGTGACAATAGAGGGAGATGCCTTGCCATCAGGGTGAAGGACGACTGGACTTACAGCCCTGATTATCTCTCATCCTGAAGATTCACCTTCCCCAGGATATCTTTCCTTAATTGCAATTGCCATCACCGTGTGGTGGCTCTAGTGGGTACTGCTCTCCATCCCCCTTCACTAGAAACGTGGGACACAACTCCTTTTTTCATTACCTACTGCATAACCTTTTATAAGATTCTACCAGCCGTCCAGAAATAACAAATTGGAGTACAGCACAGAACTGAATCTGCAATTCTGAGAACGTGCCTAGTTATTTTAAATGGGTCAGAGTGGAACGGAAAAGAAGATACCAAGAACACTGTTCTGTCCTGTTTTGACGTGGACCCTCTGTATACTACTATGGGCTAGGATTCGGTTACAGTTCTCCACCATCTTTTTGGACCTAGTAGTCTTGGGTAGTAGTCCTTTTTGAGAATTGTTGGCCCCTACTTGTAGGAAAAGACCTGCCATTGCAGCTAGACCTGGGTTTAACAGAGAGCCTAGAGTGTACCATTTAAGAGTTGTTCAGGGATTTCAGGCTATGGAGGAGGAAATATCATTTCAGCTTTAGAACAGAGTTCTTTTTTCCTGGCAAGAACCTCTTAAAGGTCCCTCTTAGTTATGATATTAAACACGTAGTACTCACTCACATACTGTCTACAAGAGTAAAACAGGCTATTTGGGGGTTTGGTAAAGACCCAGGGTCTGGATGCTTGACTCATTTCCCATGCATGCAGACCCCTTCCATTTTCAGTTCCAAGTTATTCAAAGGGGGAAGAAAAAAATCAAGTCAGCAATTCTCTTTTGTTCCTTACCACTTCTTTCGATTTTAAATTTTGAAGTTTTCCAACAGTAGTTATTGAATTAAGAGAAACAACTAAAACTGGTTGCTGCTTTGGCATCTGATTAAAGACTTAAAAATCAGTTTAGTGAGAACATTTTCTGTTTAACTAACATTCGTATTTCTTTTCATTTTAATGCACATTAAAATAAGCTTTTATCCAAAAAAGATTTTTAAAATTATATATTTTTGTTAAAGTATTTAAAAAAGTCAAATAGAACTAAAAACATGGACTGCCTCTTCAGTAAATGGTGCTGGGAAAATTGGATATTCATATGTAGGAGGATGAAACTAGACCCGTACCTCTCATCATATACCAAAATCAACTCAAAATGGATTAAAGAATTAAATATACATCCGGAAACAATAAAACTCCTTAAAGAAAACATAGGGTAGGGCCGGCCCGGTGGCGCACTGCTACAGTGCGCCGCTTGGGAGTGCAGTGGCGCTCCTGCCGAGGGTTCGGATCCCACATACAGACCGGTTCCCGCTCACTGGCTGAGCGAGGTGTGGGAGCAACACCGAGGGTTGCGATCCTGTTGCCGGTCCCGGTCTGGTTCGGGCGCGACACTGGGGGTTGCGATCCGTTGCCGGACACGAGAAAAGACAAAAAGGAAAAAAAAAAAGAAAACATAGGGTAAACACTCCAGAAAGTAGGATTGGGTACGACTTTATGAATATGACCCCAAAAGCACAGGCAACCAAAGGAAAAATAATCAAATGGGATTATATCAAACTAAAAAGCTTCTGCACAGCAAAAGAAACAATTAACAGAGCAAAAAGACAACCAACAGAGTAGGAGAAAATATTTGCAAAATATACATCTGAAAAGGAATTAATAACCAGAATATACAAGGAACTCAGGCAACTTAACAGCAAAAAAAGAAGTAA